CAAGGCTATGTGAAATCCATTAAATATGTTAGGTTTACTCATATCATTTTGGGAAAATTCAACTACCAGTTCTTCATCATCTTAAACGAAATAGTGCGAACACTTTTCATTCATATGATTTATTGGTGGTCCTGAAAACCTACTTATAAATGAACAATATAGGTATTGTCTTCTATTGTATTGCGATATATATGTTTGCCTCATCGATATTCCAACTTGAAAGATATGGAAGTTGTTTGACCTTGTCTTCGCAACTTGGTCATATTGGCAGGAAGACCTAGAGGAACGAAGCTTTTCTAAGTCCATAGTATGCATGATAACTCCCAGAATCTGTCTGTAGACGTGGTACATTCCCAGACGTTTCTTCGGCATCGTCAATGAGCCTTGCCATTCTTAGTACTACACTACAATTCGTCAAAGAGACAAGCGAAGTCGATCCTTTGACCAAATGTGTGCTAAATAGTTTTGGTATCTCTCCTTCTGCTCTGGGATATTCATTTTGTATACCAGGATATAGAAGAGGTGAATAGCCCAGGACAGAAGGAGAGATAACACAACTGTTTAGCACATATTTATCCAAAGGATCGGCTTCACTTGTCTCTTTGACCAGTTCTAGTGTGGCGCTAAGAATGGCAAGGCTCACTGACGATGCCGGCAAAAAATATGAGAATGTACCACGTCAACGGTCCGATTCTGGGAATTATCATGCATACCATGTACTCCGGACAAGGTTTGTTCCCTCTAAGTCTTCCTACCAATATGACCAAGTTGTGAAAACAAGGTCAAACAGCTTCCATGCAACGAAAGGTGAACACGAACAAACAAAAAACCACACCATCCTGGTTGTCATAGCTTCGACTAAACTATTGAAAGATATGTTTGTCTTGCGACTCAGTGGAATGATAATGCTAAGTCATGACAAGTATTTGTCGGTTGGATACCCTGATGAAAACCAGGTTACGTGGAAGTTCTAGCCATTTTAGAAAAAAATGTTTAAGTAAAATTTGGCGTTATTGTGAGGCCTAGTGATATAAGTTTGAAAGAAACACCATTATCAATCCTTCAGTCACTTTGTACGCCCTTGCAGTACAAACACTAGCCAGAGTAGACCTCGGAGTATGAACTCTGTCAGAATTGGATCATTATTGATGACGAATTATGTCCTTTGACTCAAGAGAACGTTGGTGTTGGGACTAACATGGCTGCGCTACCACAAATATGATTCAAGTACCGTTAAGGAGGCTGATGAGACCTGGGCGAGGTCGAAACTACACCCCACCCTGGATGCAAAGCTCTTTGAAGGAAGCAAGACTATGTGAAATTCACTGGAAACATGAGGTCTACTAAAATAATTGTAGGAAAATTTAACTATCCCACCTTAATGACATTACACGAAATAGGGTGAACACAGTTCTTGTTTATATTCTACTGGTGCTATCGGAAAGCAATGTTGTATTTGCTATAGCAAACAACTAAATTACATGTTTTCCGTTTATGAGTAGATTTTCAAGACAACATACAGATTTTAAATATGGGTTGCATTCTAGTCCTACTGGGGTGCTGATGAGACCTAGACGAGATCAAAACCGCAGTTCACTTCTACCTGAGTGAGAAACCCTTTTTAGAAGCAAGTTTAAGTGCAATTCAATGGAAACGTTAGGCCTACTTCTATGATTGTAGGAAAAATGAATTACCAGGCCTTACTTAGATTCAAGGAAATAAGGCGAAAACAGCTCTTAAATGAGACTTTGTAGCAGAACTGAGTGTTCACCTGGTTCTGCATTCGTCCGCCTTACTCTCCTTTCTGAGGCCATTCTCGTCTCTCTCGTTAGCCCCCTCCTCCATTGGCGTGTATCTTCTGCAAAGGTTGTCGCAGGATGGTGGAGACTGTGACTGTTGCTGCCACCGGTGTTGTTGCAGTTGTGTCTGCGTCGGCATTTGATGCGCCAAATGTCCGGGCCGTAGGACACGTTGTACAAGTAGGCAATTTGTCGTCAAGCCTGGCCTTGGTGCCTCCAACAGTTGGCCGGTGGGTAGCAAAAACTGCGCCGGCCATTGAATTGAAGACCGTTGTACAGCCTCACAAGTATCATCGCCAGTCTCCGCATCATTGGTCATCCCGACCCGGCCAAGAGTCATGCTCTTCGCCACTGCCAGGAGGCTCTTTGGTCGTGGTAGTCCACTTCGTCTCGGCACCGTTTTGCCCAGCGTTTGAGTCTTGAGGAGGCTCCTGTCGTCGTCACAAGACGCATGCCTGCTTGGGCCGCCGGGCAGATTGAGCAGTCCGACGGAGTGGACAGACAGACTTGGCCCGGCCTCAGCGCCCAGTCTGGAGGGTCGAAGTTCTGGCACATGTCCACTCATCTCCATCAGCACAGGCCTCTTCTCCAGTCCCGTTGTCATGTCCACCAGTCCAGCATCCTCTCGACTCGTCTGTAGGCTGGCGGGTTGTCGGCACTGGTCGCCCGGTCTCGGTCGGTCAGTCGACAGGCACCAAGTTCTACAGATCGTGTCACCCTCGTTCCGACCGTCTGGACTGGCCCGATTACGTGGCGTTGTCAAGTAGACAACCAAAGGGTGCCGCTTCTTGTTCATCGTCTGAGGGTTGGTGGCAGTGTTGGTGTTGGACGCAAGTACAGTCCTCATGTCTGCCGGAGTGCATGTGGTCATCGGTGCTGACGGCGATCGCAGCTCGAACACCTCCGAAGCCGACCTCAGATAGAGCCGTCGCGGCCGTTGGCCAGTCTCGACTACAGACTCGGACAAGCCGATGCCGCCGGGCAGATGCGACTGGTACAGACCGGACGTTTGGGCCGATCTGGCCGCGTCGGATGCGTCGAGACGGCCGGCTGATGGAAGCAGCAGCCGGCTGGGCAGCTGTAGTTGGGCTCCGATCGGCGGCTGGCTGAGTGGGCGGTTGGTGGGAAGGAGTTGGACAAACGAGGGGCTGGGGGGCGACAAGTGATCAAAGAGTCTGGCCCTCGCAGCTCCGGCCGAGCATGGGCCGAGCAGGCCTTGGAGGCCAGCGGGCAGAGATGGTACCGGCGGTGGTACTGGCAGACCGGCGAATCGGAGGGGACCCGGCGGGCCGGGCAGTCGAAAGAGACAGGTCTGCAAGGGACCGAGGCCACCAGACAGGTAGCCTGGAGGCGGAACAGACGGTCCGAGGCTCGAACCACTGCAGCCTGGCTGCCGTGCCGTCAGCTGCAACTGTAGCCATGGATACGGCTGGGAGATGGGCTGAACGGGCGGTTTTCGGGTGAGTCCGACCAGGTCGACCAGGTCGCCCGAGAGCCTGGTCTGTGGCGGTGGACCGGCTGGGCAGGTCTGGTGATCGGGCGGCGAGGCACAGACTCGGAAGGTGGGCAACCAGAGGCCGGTTTTGGGGTCGGACTCAAGCTCGGACTTGCCAGTCAGCGCAGCTTCTCTCTCCTCCCCTTCCTCCTCCTCCTCCTCGCCCTCTTCCTCCTCTTCTTCCTCCTCTTCCTCCTCTTCCGCCTCGCCGCCCCCCTCCACCGCCTCGGGCTCATCGCTGCTGTAGGCCTCAGTGGCCTGGTAGCCACTAGCCCCGACCACCCGCAAGCCCTGGCTGCCGGGACTCGGACCAAAGGACCCAGGAGGCTGGTGTTTGTGCTGAGCTGGAGGCTGCTGTCTCGAACGTGTCTGGTGGCGATGAAGCCGGCCAGTCGACGGCATTTGACTCGGCAGGCGAACGTGCGTTCGACGGGCGAATCGTTGACTGAGGTGGAGGCCACGAGTGAAGAGGAGACCGAGCAGAGCCGTGAGACCGGTGAGTACACCAATTGCGATTATAATCAGCAAAATTTGACTGGCACTCGGACAGAAGAACTCATTCACACAACCGCTTCCAGCACCGGCTGTATCAAGCAACGGGAATTTCGAGGGGAATAGAAACATTTAGTAACGGGCAGTTGGCAGAAATTGAGACTTTTATTCCAACTAGCAGAGTATGGGCTATCTGAAAATGACAGTATATTTAGCGCAAAACTGGTCTTGGTAGATAATTGGTGACCCGATTTTTATTTCTAGTAAAACTAATTTCGGAAGATATTCGAGCATCAAACTCATCAGAATACGACAGTAGGTTCTGCTACAGGTAGAGCAATAATTCATGAATAAGAATTTGGTTGAAAAAAGTGATTTGTAGATTAATAGTTGAAACTTTTTCCACAGCGCTTATTAAGCATCGTCTAATAGTCCCCAAGGCTTACTTACTTCGGATATGAGTTTGTTAGCTTTTTGAGCTAATATCGCAGGATATTAGTTGATTTGCCCTATTTTGCAAAATATATCAATCACGCATACATTTTTCTTGCCTAATTTATAACTTCCCTTCAGAGCCTTTTAATTGCTCCCTACTTCCCTTAAAACATTAAATTCTCTAATTATGCATTCCCTAACATTATTCACAAACCA